GAACTTTTACAAAAGGACATTTACAGGCAAGAAGGTGAGTGATGTTTATGATAGGGAGTAGCACATGACATTTAAAACTCAGGAAATAAAAGCGTGGGATATGACAGAAAAGGAAACAGTATTGGTATCAGCGTTATATTGTGAAGTGGCAGTGGAGACTTAGTCCGCAGCAACGTATGGGAGAGGAAGCTAAATGGCATCCCTTGAACTCATTTCTTTTCTGACCTTTTGAAGTTACCAGGTCCAGCTAATTTTCTGCTCATGGTTACATCTGAAGTAGGTTCCAGAGATAGGAACCCACAGCTCAGCACAAATAAACTGTGAAGCTAGAGTTTCAAGGAGAATGAAAGGAGACAGTACTAACATCCTCTTAGATAATTAAGCCTTGCTAAATCAGATGGTGGCCTTTGCCCATCGAAAGCAAAGTATTGTTTCAGAGAATAATGACAGCAAAGATTCTAGGTGAAATCACCACAGTGTCCTAAAGGCCCTGCAGACAATATTGCTTAAAAGACTGATCATAATACAAATCTGACAAATCAGCCACTCAAACCACACAACTTAAAGTCAGATGCAGTGACAAGGAAATAGTGATTAAATTCCTCTTCTTAAACCAATCCACTAGTAAACTCTTTATGCACGTTTTTGATGAGCTATCTGTCCATGTGTTGTATATGTTTTTGCATGTTTGCGAAGTCCACTGGAGAGCGAGAGCAAACTGTCAGGATGTGCCTCAGTTTGTGACTGCAGCCTGCAGTAGACACATAATATTCCAAAATAAGGAGCTGTTCCTTAAAATAATGAGCAAACTTGGTTCCACTTCATCCAGGAATGTCAATGGTGCCAAACGTAAAATGCAAAGAAGAAAACTCTAATGTCTTTCTTTGCTTCTCTGAATAACTTTGTAAGAAATATAACATTATGGAAATAAGTACTAGGAGAACCTCTAGGCACAGTGTTTTTAAATGATGTCCTGTGGTGTTAAACTGTGTCTACAATCAAAAGGCTGTGCTGGGTGCACTTGTCTACTACCTTGTCAAACAGAAAGCCTTGCAGATAGGTCAGCAGACTCACAGGAAGTACAAACTGAAGGCCAGTTTAACTTACAGATAGTTTGTGGCTTTACATAGAAATTTTGTTCAGCCTGGGATGATGATAACACTACAACAGATCAATCTTTGTGCAAAGGAATACTCAGTATTTTTATCTCTTGGAATAATTCTTTTGACAAGGTCTTCTGAACCTGAAGAATTGACTCTACCTTTTAATATATGTGTGTTCTTTTTCCTTTTCTGATAGAAACCTGGAAAACAAAGCCCCAAGTTCCTTGAACAGAATTATTATACTCGTTTCCTTTGGAGTTCCCTTGACTTCTTTCAACGGTCTGATCCTCTAGGCTAACATAGATCAACAGAATTTAAACATCTGTCTGGTTTCCTGGAACTAGTATGAGGTGTGAGTACATTCACAGACCATTCTTTACAAATACTTTCTCAAGGGGTCTCCCATCTGGCTGAGCAGTCTAACACTGCTTTGTTCTTTTGGGAGTTTTGATATAGTTTATGTTCCAACTGTCCATGTATGTGATGCTCAGTGCTACACTGAGGAGTTCCAGGAGATGAATGATGTCTATACTGCTCTGTTACAAAACACTTGAATCCAGGATACAGACATCTCCCCTTTAACAGTTCAGATGCACACAGCGAGTTAGGTGAGAGCTAAAACTAAAACGTTCTGTCCTTTAGCCAGATCCAAACTACTTCAAAACGTTAATAAATGCATCCTATAGACCAGAAGTGGAGTCATGAAGTGCTACAATTTAGAGTGCAGACATTTATCCATTTGGAATCTGGAGAGATTTTTGGAGACAGTAAATGAAAAATGCAAAATCACTTTTTTAATAACAACAAGAATTAGAGTTTCTTTAAATTCAGGGGGGATTTTAAAAGTATGATAGACAGAATTATATAGCACAGGTCTCAGAAATTCTAAGCCAACGTCTCAGCCAATTTGTGATGGTGAGCATTTGACTTTACTCTCCTGCCATGGTCTTTGGAGCAGAATGAGAAGTATAGGCAGCCTGGAGCAATTCTGAATGAAGCCATCCTGGAGGTGGCAGAAAGGATAATCTCTTTTCAAGATTTCTCTCAATTCCATACCCTCTTCTGAAGCCAGAGGTGGGGGGTGGGGGAGAAAAATGAAGAAAGAGAGAAATGTATGTGTCAAAGACACAAACGTCCTGTGTAACTCTTGCAGCAGAAGATGACTGTGTGACAGGGAGTTTTCAATCTGCTAAAGCTGGCTTTAAAGGATGCTGCTATCTCTTTTATTATTTAATTAGGGGGCTAGTCCTAGAATTTCAGCCATAGGGGTAAGTAGGTAAACCTATTTGCACATCCCTATTCTGAAAAGCTCTCTTTGATGGGGGAAAATGTATGCCTCAGATAACAACCTTCAAAGGTACAAGTCTTTCCAGTAGAAGAAACACACACACACACACACACACTCACACCCTACACACCCACCCACACTACACACACACACACACACACACACACACACACACACACACACATTCCGGACTGAATCTCTGCAAAACCGGACACAGGCTGATGAAAGGCGGTAGCCAGGGAGAAATTTCAGTGGTGTTTAGCAGAAACGACAGGGCTCATTTTGCATGCAGTGAAGTACAGCAGCGAGACTGAATGGATGGAAAATCCCACTTTCAAATCTTACATAAATATCTCTTTCTCACATAGAGTTTTCCAGTTGAAATGCTCAAATAATGAAGGCAGAGGTGACAGTCTAGCGAGGGCTTTTAAGCATCCAGATGGCTGTCAAAGTGTTATAAAGAGGAGAGGAATGTCAAAACGGTCCCAGCCAACCCCAGTTTCTCTATCTGCCTGGCAATGGTCCCTGATTCGAGAGGGTACCGCTCTTGCATACTATCTTAGACTTCTTCGAATTCTCAGAAACACAGAGAAGAAAATAGCTGCTAATCTGGTTAGCAGCTCTGGTGCGCAAAGGGATTGTTGGGATCGTGCCCCCTAAGGAGGAAACTGCTTGCAATCTTCAGAAACCATGGCAAAGTTGAAAGGGCCTTTTCTCCCTCCCAGTTGCTTGGTTATAAGCGCTGCCCTTTAATTGGAGCTGAAGTGAGCAGTTGCCAGTCTGATTTTCCATTACAGACTAATGTTGTGCGTTTACAACAATAAACAATTAATGTTGTTTAATTTCTTACGTTTAGCAATCCAAGCTAACAGCTGCCATCTCCGCTCAGGAGGCTAACAGGCTAGTCATTGACGTGTCTCAAAACGGTATGCCTTCGGGCAAGGGGCCACTACCACAAAACTTTGAGGTTTTTTTTTTTTTTTTTTTTTTTTTACAACCTTGGGCAAGGCGAGGCTTTAGTCTTGGGAAGGAAAAACAAACGGAGGAATTGTTGGATACCTGTTGGTATCAGCATCAGCGGCATCACGTTTACACGGTTTACCAGGCTAGGCTAGAGCCTTGGGAAACCAGGGTAGGTCTCTCATGAACCTGTTACCACACTAGCGGAACATAACCAAGAGTGCCTTTCGCCTCCTGTCTGGCCGGGCGCGGCTGCACCCCCAGATTGGGCTGATGCTAAGCACCAAGATCACTGGGATCTTTAGGCACTGTGGACTCTGGGATAGGGAGAAGTCATCCGGTGCTTAGGAGGGCTATATATGGATGCGGGCTTGCTGACACTGACTGGTCTGTCTGTGGGTCCTAAGCTAATGCGGAGCAGCGTCTTGGTGACTACAGAGTGGTTAGGTGGCCCGGGAGCTCCGCAAGTTTGCAGCTGGCACCGCGCCCCCGGGCTGGAACAGACACTTGTGGAAAATCCTGGCGCTGGGGCTTTCGCAGCAGAGCAGTAGCCCTCGGTCCAACCGAGGAGGTCGCCCTCCCACGACTAAGAGGTGGGGGCATGCGGAAAACAAGGCGCCAGCTTCTCCAGCCTCACAACCTGCTTTCCTTTGGAGCTCGCAGCCTCCTCTGGGCAGGAGGCGAGTATTTCCCTTTCACCGCACCGACCCCGCAGTGAAGGCGCACGGCTGCAGCAGCGCCCGCCTGCGTCTCCAGGGTGAAACCGACAAGCGACCGCAAGAAGGAAAGGGTGGCGCGGGAACTGGAGGGGGGCAGAATGAGGTTCCAGACTCCTCCATATCTGCTCCGAGAGCAGTTTGCAAAACCGGTTAGGTAGAAGGCGACCCCATCAGCTACAGATGCCGCGAAAGGAGATGCGGCTCAGCGGGTTATCAGTGCTAGCGTCCCTCATCCACCAGGTGCGTAAGGTGTCTGAGGGCGCGTGGGAATTCCTAAAGGAATCAATCCCCTCGGCTCTTCCCCGCCCGGAGGCGTACGAGGCTAGGGGATAGTACTTACTCAGGTCGGGCTCCGGATGCGGAAAAGCCTCAAGCCTCTCGGTTCATAAATGGCTGGAGGAGCTGGGGGTCAGTTCGCGGGAGCGGCTAATGTCCACGGATCCCCGCGCGCAGGGTAGTCTCCTCCGGATCGCGTTCATGCCTCTCGGAGCTCCGGAGCCTGGTGCGGGGATGCGAAGTCGGCGCTCTGGGCTCTGTGTTCGCAGCCTAAAAGTACAGCTTGTGTGTTGACGCTCAGGTCTATGTCCAAAGTGACAGTGGCGGAGCTTAGAGGAGGCAGGGAGATTCCAAATCCATCCACTAATTCTGGGCCGAGCGCTCCGGCTTGCGAGCCCGCCTGCCTGCCAAATGTAACTGTGAAGTGATGTGGAAAAGTGAGCCGGGTGCCTCCCCTGACGGATCTCATTGGGCAGAGCTCAGAGGCAGGTCTACCACTTGGAAATTCATGTAAGCAGTCCCCCCCCCCCCCCCCTCCCTGCCTTGCCCCTGCGCTCTCCCGCGCTTGGTTTCCACTCCCTTTCCTCCTACCAAGAGTGCGCACAACTTTTCGCTGGTCGCTCACGAGCACGCCCAGCGCGCCTCCGCGCCGGAGTCACCGGGTGAAGATGAGCCTTCCACGCTTTGCGCGCAGCCCGCCGCGCGGCCAAGCTCTTGGATAAAGACTGCTGGCAGATCAGAAAAGGATGCTCAGGAGGTACCCTCCAGCTTTCTCCCTCTAGGTCTCACCTGAGCCCCAAGGCTAGAATTATCTTGAAAAGCATCTCAGATACCCAGAGCTGGTTTCTGTGGAGGGCGAGGATGCGGCAGCGCGTGGGCCATTCACCTTTTCCCTCATTCTGAAGACGTCTTGTATGAGGAATTGCATGTTTGCAAGACCACTGCCTGCTAAAACTCGTGTGTTACTGGTTTCTTGGTGGTGGGTCGCGATCCTGGAACGGTGCTCATTCCTGATGTTCTAGGGGTTGCTACTCCTTTGGGAGATGGGGGTTAGAGGGATAAGGGACAGTAGAGGAAGCCAAGAGGGATTTGCAGTTAAGTGAATGGGCAGAAAATGAGCAGGACTTGCTGTGGCCATAAGGAGAGGGTCTGGCAAGCTTTGCCAGGGTGCTCTGACACGCCCCCCGAGGGTGTGTGTGGAGAGTACCGTCCCTGCATCTCCTCTCTCTCTACCAAGGGATGCCCTATCCTTGGATTCCCTAGTCTTCTGATAAAATTTCCTAAGCACTCAGATGTTAAGAAATTGGCACCCAGATATACGCAATGCAAACAGGGGTCCGCAGACCCGTAGACCTGGGTCTCTTTTATTGTGGTTATCAAGACTGACACGTGGAAATATTCGGCAGCACTGATCTCTGTTTGTCATTTAACACAGTCAAATACACGACAAATTAAACGGCCCTTACCTTTCTTCAAAACTCTCCTCCATTGAAGACAGGGGTTTCTTCGATTTCTGACTAGACGTGAGCTCTGAGGATGGATTTTGATCATCTGGGGACAGAGCTGCAGCAGAAGGGGTGCAGAAGAGCAGACGCACGGGCTAGAGAGCCTGTACTGTCTGACTCGAATTAATGAGACGCAGTGAACAGAATGGAAAATAGGCACAATATGCTTATAATACTTATGCAAATTTGGCTTTTTTGATGCTGTATCTAACCTCCCACTGTAAGAAGTTGAAGACATTGACTATCAGTTTCTTATCTGTTTGATTCACATTCTAGTTATCCTAAGAAAGAAACTTGGTAAATTATTTGGGGACGGGGGAGGGGTGTTTTTACCCTCAAGCAGTTGCTGTTTGTTCTCTTTTCAAAGGCTGTGTTAGATTATGAGGTATTCTGGCTTTGGCTAATTCTGTCTTAGAAAAAGAACAGCAGTCAAACTCAATCAAATTATAACTGCCGTTAGACCAGACAGTCCCAAGTGGACAAAAAAATAGATCACACCTTCGGTTGTGCTTAATTTTCAGATATTCATTTTCACTTTGAACAAATGGTCTGAGTCTTTCCTTGGGGTACTCTCTTACATCTATGAGAAGGAAAGGAAAGGTCATATGTTCCTGAAGGCTGCGGATTGTCACAAGTAACAAAGTCATCTCAAAAGCAACGACTGCTGGAGAGAGAATATCCTCTGATCTAATTTTCCTAAAAAGAAAAACTCAGCTGACAAACCGAAGGGATTCAGAATCCAATGTCACTGAGTTCAGTTACCAATGTGTTTCAGTTTTTGCTGCATGTTTACTCTTACAATATCAAAGGATGTCATCTTCACTGACTCTTGGCCCCCTGGAATTTAAGGTGACCTTCTTCAAATCCCTAATCTCTATGTAAAGCTCTGCAGTAGGACTTTCCTGACAGTTTCTTAAGGGAGGTCTGGATGATTAAGAAGTGTGAAAGAGGATTAAGATAATGTTAAAAGCCCTATCAGGATATTTCTAAAATAATCAGGGATGCTGAAAGGCAAGGCATTTGTCTCTTTCACAATTCCACCCACACTTAATAGAATGCAGTGCAATGTCTTGGTGGTGAGACTGTACTTCCTCAAAAAAGTGTAATCTTTTCAGCATTCTCCCTGGAATCATATAAGTTCAGCAGAAGGAGGATACTACTCCATCAGTTTTTTCTAATGGGGATCCAACTTGTTCGAGTTGTGGAACTTTCCTGGGGAGGATTAGTGAGGAAAGCTCTGATAGGATCAGAGCACAATCATAGGGCACAATCACATCCACTGACAAGATTGGAAACATCATTGATAGAAAAAGTTGGACAAGGCAGGATGACCCCATCTGATTCCAGAGACTGCCAGATATGTAGATGAGTCCACTGGGATTAAGAGTGGGTAAGATAAAGATAGGCTTCAAAAAGTAATTCCTTTTTATTTTTCACTCTGAGCTGAATCTTTGTTATAATTTTGGCTAATGGAAACAATAAAAATGGACTGGCTAGTTATTTAGAGGTTTAATCAAAGCCACCAGTTAGCATGCTTATAAGAGGAACGTAGAATAAGGGGACAGATATGACTATGCTTTCTCCATTTGAGAAGGGAATGGCAGTACATCTATTATTGCCTGCATTAAGATGCACCCTTTTACTTTTTCCCTCTTTCAGCACACATTTATAACTAAACTTAACGAAAATAATCAAAAACAAAGGTGGGTGTTTACTATGGTGTAATGACAGTGAAGTTTGCTTGCTTGGTTGGTTTTCTCCTATTTTAGTCTTCAATGAGCTAATGAACACAAAGAATTTCTCCCTGAATGTACCAGATTCCAGATTGTGGACAGCAGATTCTGCGAGTGAAGGGTTTTACATTGGGATAGAAGTCCATAATGTTATCATTTACAATAAAAAAAAAATTTAGCATCTGAAGCAGCCAAAACAAATACAATGTGAAATACACACAGTCTTCTCTGCAGATTTCCTCAGAATGAACAATTTTGGAATGGTGCTCATCTGTAGTCCTGGAAGGGTAAAGAGTATGTTGCAACAATGACACAATCAAAGATCACTTTGGAGATGGCATGACAGCTCAGTGGAGAGTGACTGTCTCCTCTGCAGTAAGCTCTGTGTTCAATCCCAAACAGAGACCCAGAGGTGGCACAAGTAAGAAGGGAGAAAAGAAATTAAATCTCTTTTAAGAAGATTTGTTCATTCTCTCATTCTCTTGTGTATGTATCTAACTATGTGTGCAGACGCCTGCAGAGGCCAGGAGAGGGCATCAGAAGTCCAAGAACTGTAACTGTTACAGGGAGCTGTGAGCCTCCTGAGTAGATACTGGGAATAGAACAATGGTCCTGGGAAACAGCAGTAGGTACTCTTGCTCACTGAGCCATCTGCACAGTCCCTCAATCTTTATCTTAAATTACGATATTGAGAAAGTATTAAGAACAGAAGAGCCTTTCCGAGAAGTTAATAAATATTTAATTAAACAGGATAGCTTTAAAAAAAATTATATGAGATTGTTTTAAACCAACCTCTTAATAAAATCATTAAAGGATATGATGGTGTCCAAATTAAATCACTGGGAAATTATGAGGATTTCCTCATGACAAAGGTACGTACGCAGCCTGAGGTCCTTCGGTGGCTTCTACCTCAGCACTTTCTAAAGATTTGTCAGAAATGGAAATGTGCAGTCTAGAATCTAGGTGATGTTTAGAAATCTGGGCTGTAGCAAGTGCTCCAGGGAGTCCCATCTCTGTGGTGGTTTGCGAGCCACTGCCTTAGGCTATTTCTTTTTCATATGATAAATGTAAAAACGAGGAAGGAAAAAATGAAATGAGTGCTATATTAATGGATTTTTTTTTGTACTGAAGTGTTCTGGCTTCAGACTACTACTATCACAAGTCACAGAAATAAATAGAAAATTTATTTAGAAGTGGTTACCAATTCTTGAAGTAAAATCCTCTTTAAGGTTGCAGGTTAGGACTACAGATGTTCTGGCTTTAGCCCTCCCTCAAATTAGGGGTCTATCTCTGAATATTGACTGTAATTACTCATCTCCAGCTTGGCATTATTCTTTTCTGGCATAAATGATGGCATAAACACTTGCTGAAAAACCACATCTGTGCAGAGAGCATTTTGAAGAAGGTGGTCAGAATGGAATTATCTACCATCTTCCCAGGTGCTCAAAAAGAGATAAGCCCCCAATTCAGCTTTTGAACAGAAATGAAGGAGCCAAGGAAAGGGAGATAGGTTTAAAGGGAGTGGACAAAGCTATCACATAAGCCAGCCCTGATCTTGCAGACTACACACTTGAATATTTGGGGTTAAATCTTGTTTTCTTTTTCTTTCTTTCTTCCTTTCTTTCTTTCTTTCTTTCTTTCTTTGTTTCTTTCATCTTCTGATGTGGGGATAATAACTAAATTAAAATCCTGGAACTCTCTTTTCTTGGGAGTTAAGTGGATATAAAATTTTAAGAAACATTTCACATTATTTTTAAGCAAAATAGAGGAGAGAAAAACTTTTCCTGTACATTACTTGTCAATTGTAGCATATTTTATGCAACATCACAGTGTATTTAAATTTAATTGATTCAAGTACCTTTAAATAATTACCATTATTTGAATGTCCATGCTTACTCTTAACCTATCATTACAGATATAAAAATGAGTACAGATCCGTAGAAGAGAGGGGAATGTGTCCTCTTACGTATCAAATGAAGTTTTTGGTTCTGATTAATTGCTACCAAGTCGTTTACTATCGAACAAAAGCACATACACATACATTTGGGAAAGATTGAAAGGTTGAAAGGAAATGTCATCTCGGAGATTGTGTGCAGGATTCTTTTGTCAGTCAAAGCTGCACACTGCTGTCTAAGGATGTTTTCGCTCATTCATTACAGGTCCTGCAGTGTAGGAAACTGCCTTTCTGCTTGTCGGTTTCTCTTCGGCTTGCACAGGCATTAGTCCTGTTAGATGGATAGCGAAGCTTTTTTTTTTCCTTCTACTTCAAGTGCCCTCTAGCGAGCAATATCTGTGCAGGTTGCTATGTAGAAGGAGGCGGAATGAAGAAAGAAAAAAGAAATCCACCAACTCCGGTCCTCATTCCTGAAGTGTTCCTCTTCTTTTTTATTTTTTTCTCCTTCCTCACAGGGGTCATTTCCTCATAAGTGTTTGGCAAAACAAAAACAACAACAAAAAGGTACTGTTGCTTTTGCATGTGAAACGCATCGGTCATTTACTAAACTGTGAAGCGCGAATGT